GTGAGGGGCTGAGGGCCATTTTCAGGCTGGCCACACCCCCTTCAGGGTGGGGGTCCCCACTGGGGTGCCTTGCCAGCCTGGGTGAGGGGCTGTTCGCCGTTTTAGGCTGGCAACCCCCCTGCCCCCGGCGAAGCAAGCTCCCAGCCTCTCCTTTTTTTATTTTTATTTTTCCACCACCTCCTTGAGTGGAGGCCAGGGTGGGCTGGAAGCAGGTATCTGGGATTTATTTATCTTCTATAATTAAAACTTTGTAGCCTTGAGTGGAGCCCAGGGCCGGCCAGGGCAGGCAGGAAACTTGGCTTCCTCCATTGCCAGGGGCAACCCAAGCCTCCTGCTTGCTCCAGCTCCGTGGCCGCCACCATCTTAGTTGGGTTAATTTGCACTACTTAAAAGGCAGTTTGACTTGCACATAGAAAGTTCTCAATAAATGTTGGGTGTTATTTTTAGAGAGGAAGCATGGCTTGTTAGAAAAGTTATTGGGTAATTCAATATTATTTAAATATATTGGTATAGCCTAACTTGTAGAATGACTATGGTACACTTCACAATTCTTGGCCTCTGTGTCTTCATTTTAAAATGAGGGGTTAGGATAGCTTATCAGTAAAGTCTTTTTAGTCTACATTCAGTTTTACACCTTTAAATTATTCTGACTTTTTAGGACCTTAGGTAAGCTCCTAAATCACAGGTCATGGTCCTTTGTGCTTAACTTTGCAGAGAATTTAGTGCAAGAACAGATTCGGCTCATCTCATGGAGCAGCACAGCTCACTACTAGAAAGCTGTGCTTTAAAGAAGTCTTATAAAGTCAGCAATAGAAAATTAAGTTTGGAAGTATTTAGAGGCCAGATGTCCCACAAATTTTTTGTTTGTTTGTTTGTTTAGTTGTTTTTATTTTTTCCTTCCCTCACAGGAAAGTTGGGGGTAGTTGCTTGGAATTTCCCTCTTAACAGGAGTTCGCTCAGGAAAAAAGACATCTAGAAATTGCTTTCCCATAAAGATAAAGTAAAAGCTAATTTACCACTGTCTTAGAGAATCTAATGCCTCACTTCAACAGATAAAGGTAGTGTTAGTGATCAGAAGAATCCACTGCTAAAGAGATGTCAAGGAGTCAGCAAGCGATTGCCATATTGACTGCTACTGATTTCAATAAAATTAGTTTGCACCATTGAAAGAATTTTTTCTTGCCTAAAACCCAAGGTAAATTTCAGATACTCACTGTAATCTAAGGAGGACTTGTGTTTAAAAAAAAATGCTGAAATGGGGCATAAATGTGACCATAATTCCTTAAAACCTTCAAGATACTTTCTAAATTTCTTAACATAGTTTATGAGCTTGTCTAGCTTGTTCTTTTCTTCCTCATAATCTATGTTTTAGTCAAGCCAAACTTCCCTTAGTTAAGTCCTTGATTATGCTGTGCTCTTTCTCAATTTTGGATCTTTTTTACATATTGTTTCTCTATATGGACCATTCTTTCCCGCCACTCTGCCTGGTAATTTTCTAGTTAACATGTATGTCTCACCTTAAATGCACTGTATTTAAGGAAATTTTCCAAAAGAAGCCCCACTAATATTATTTTCAACTGAACCCTGTATTTCCCCTGTCATAGCATATACCATTTGGTATTATAATTATTTATTTGTCTTCATCCTTTGAGCCTGCAATGTCATTAGCACAGGAATCTTAAGGATAAATTGGAATAAAGAAACAGCAAATAAATGGTTAAGGAAAGTAGGCACTGTGGTAGGCATCTGCATGATGAGATGAGTGGCAGAATCTCTCCTCTCAAGGACATATCAGCAGTGAAGACAGGAAATTTAAACTCACAATGATAATATTTATGTTTTAAGTCATATACTATAATATCCAGCTCAGTTTATTTTCAACCACTTACATTTAAAATAAATCCCTATACCAATCAGATATTTTACTAATATTATTTGAACATATTCTTTTTTTCCCCAAGTTGTGCTTTTTTGCCTTTGAATTTTTTTAGAAATTATGGATACTTCAACAACCATAAGTAACATTAATGAAATGTTCTCAAGCTACTCTGGACCATTGTTTTTCTCTTTCCTCTGTACTTCAATAATACTTCTAGTACTACCACCCAGTTATATAGCTGTGTATATGCTATATATATAAAAGCCTAAGCGACCGAATGATGGGTCAACTGGTTGCTATGATGTGCACTGACCACCAGGGGGCAGACACTCAATGCAGGAGCTGCCCCCTGGTGATCAGTACGCTCCCACAGCCAACTTCCTGTGGCTGGCCAACATCCCATGGTCACTCCCCCCAGCCGACCAGCCTGCCATGGTCCCTGCCCCTACCTGGCCAGCCCTGATCAGCCACAATCAGAACTGGGTGAGATGGCCCAATTGGCCCCAATCTCCAGCCAGGCCTAGGGACCCTACCTGTGCACGAATTCGTGCACCAGGCCTCTAGTACATATATATAACCCTTGAAAGATCCATCAAGAAATAGAAAAATATCTTGCTCACAGAAGTTTCATTATAATTGACATTTTACAAAAAATTATGAGCAAGTCAGGCAGTTCTGCCTATTTTCATCCTGTTGAATTTTTTGATTCATTATCTGTTCTCTAAGTTTGCTTGGAAAAATATAGATCACTTTTTATCCTAACCACTAAATCCTAAACATTGAAGACTAGAGTTTTACTTATATTATTGACTAGCTTTACATGTACCAAGAATTGTGCAGATACTTTATAATATTCTCCCATTCAATCCTTCCAATAATCCCATGAGGTAGGAAAAACTGGTAACTTCATTCTGGCTCTGAAAGAAAAAAATAGCTTCTAAATAAGTTTAGTTACTTTTTTAAGATCATCCAGCTCATAAGTACAAGTCATAGGTAAGTCTCCACTCTGATTCTAACATCTTAACCATCATTATATTCTAGTCATGGATGATGCATATAGGTCTCCAGATCCTTGTACATCATAAAAATGAGCAATTATCACTAGGTAATTCCATAGACTCAAGAAAATTCCAGGTGCTATAATATACCTTAAAAAATCCTATATAGGTAACACCTATATTTTCAGGAAAGCAGTTATTCTTTACCAAGAATCAGAACATACTTGGTACTTTAATAACACTATCTAATTTTTCCTAAAAGTTTTGTAAGTTTAATATTTCTATAATCACTTTAAACTGAGACTTAGAAAGGTCAAGCAAACTCTTCAAGGTAGCTCACATAGCTAGTAAGTAGCAGACTGTGGATGTGAACCAAACAGTTTGTCATAAAATATTATATTTTTAACTCCTATACTGCACAGTAGCTTGTCAACCACCATTTTTTTGCTTCTCAGCTTAATTAGTATATATTTATTATCATTATATTGCAGAATATGAATGTGGTCAGACTTCTGTTATGTAAATTTACAGACTGGGATCTAGGTAACTGGTTTAACAGTTACTTTGTGACTTTCTCTTTCTACTCTGTAAAAACTGCTGGAGGTATTGCGATTACATCAAATTTAAAGATTTTTATAAGTATAAACTAGTGGCCTGGTGCACAAAATTCATGCATGGAAGGGGGGTTCCCTCAGTCCAGCCTGCACCCTCTCCAATCGGGGACTCCTTGGGGGTTGTCCAACTGTGGTCAGACATGCCTCTCACAATCTGAGACTGCTGGCTCCTAACCACTCACCTGCCTGCTTGATTGCCCCTAACCTCTCTGCCTGCCTGCCTGATCACTCCTAACTGCCCTCCCCTGCCAGCCTGATCTCGCTCCCAACTTCCCTCCCCTGACAGCCTCTGTCTCGGCCCCCACCACTATGACTTTGTCCAGAAGGAATTCGGATGTCCAGAAGATGGCCAGTCAACCCGGTCTAATTAGCATATTTCCCTCTTAGTAGTATAGATAGATTATATAGGATAGGATTGCTTAAATGGGGGGGGGGAGCCTTTTTCAGCAGGAGGAGATGCTCTTGGCAGACAAAAATACATAATCCCTATATTTGAACTGATAGCCAGCCACATGCACTATACTGCCAAATTGGTCATTAAAAATTAAAACACTTTCTTATACCTTACACCAAATAGCTGTTGCCCTTAAAACCCCTCCTCAGCCTCCACCTTAGGTTCTGCCTACACAGTTCACCCAGATTTGATTCTGATTGGTCAGTTTCTATGCCAGTCAGCATCTCCTAGCCTATCAGTGGGCCTGATCAGAGACGCGGGACTGATCAGCAGCCCCAACGGAGGCCCAAGAGAAAGTGAGGCACGGCTGCTGGCCAGGCCCAGAGCGAAAAAGAAAGGCAAGTGCTGCCACAGAGGCTGCAGATCAGACCCTGCTTTTCTCTCCAGGCTTCTCTTTGGACCTTATCCACAGTCCCCTCAGCAGTCAGTGCTGGGTTGGGGGGCCCTCAATGATTGCAGTCAGTGCTGGGTCGCCATGGCCACCCTGCACTGATTTCCAGTAAGTCGAGCCTTTGGTTGTTTTGGATGTTATGGACTCTGGGTTTTTATATATTAGGATAATGTTAACACATTTTAATCTTTTATTAGCATATGTGGTCAAGTGCATGATTTCCAGTCACACTGATCTTGTTTAGAATTAGTGAGTAGCATGTTTACACTGAACTCATTTTATACTTTTACTCATATCTCTTGTAACTCTTAGAATTCTCATTCTCTCCTATAAAGTCAATATTCTATAATCTAGACAGCATTATGAGCCCAGGTGGGATATCTAAGATCATTACATTTTTTGTCACATTCTTTCTCATGTAATAGGTAAAACTAATAAAAAGACATACTCATGTAAGATAAAAGCCAGCTGCATTATTTCAACCCAGCAATTGAATTCTATCAATCAAGGTACCCTTTGCTGTCAGAAAAGAAAACTGGAAGGCTCTATGTGGGTGAAAATAAAGCATAGGGTAAATTAAAGTAAAAAGCTTAATCTTTAAAATAAATATGCTTCTAAATTGAGGAATATGAACTACGAAAAGCATACACTATTTGATAAGACCTGTCTAGACATTGGTATCTTGAGTGTGAATATTGAGTAATAAAATTGAAATGAATAACCTTATGATAAGATCAGGTAAATTCATGAAGATATAAATCAGTAAAAGAGAACAAAAATGTCGTGGTGCTTATTTTAAGGACTAAATGCAGACATGGGCTGGATCTTTATTTGGCAAACTCTATAATCAGTGTACTACCCTATAATGCCTATCATAAAAATCACTGTTCCTTTTCAGTCTATGTTTACTATGGATTTTAAAAACTACCTACCTCACGTATTCTTAATAGAATTACTTTTTTTTATCTGTCACAAAGTACCACATGTTATTCTAAGTGAATCATTGTTAATATTTTTATTTCAGGGACTTTAAACAAGCCAATATTAAGCATTTCCATCCTAAATAAAATTATCATGAAAATTTATTTATTTGTTTATATGGTGTTTCTGGAAGCTTTTTGTTTATTTCTTTAGTTTTTAACATAGCCTATTAACATATGTGTTAAATTAAGATTTCAGAGAGAAATATTAGGGACATAAAAGAGGCTTATCCAATACCTCAAAGTGTGAGAAAATACCAATGCTCATACTATATAGGCTATGTCTTCTACATTTATTGAAAATCAAATAACAGGCCATATTAAAGCTGTGAGGTTTGTTCTCATTTCACCACAGCCTGGCACCTGGGGCTATGGGGAAAGCAACACAGTTCAGGACCTATGCACGTATGATTCTTGGAACCCATTCACAGTTTGGAAGTGACATGAGGTGTTAAATGTCTCTCTTTTTTTAATTCTAAAATTAACCAGTCATGATTTTCCTTCTTACAAAAAGATTTAGATATGCTTACTTGAAGTTTTACTGTTAAACTCTGTAAGAGCACACATCTACCAGTAGCAGAAGAGATGGGGACCCAAGGTCCATAAAGTTTGCAGCTACAGAGGATGAACTGCTAATGGAAACTATAGTTTTCAATTATCCCTCTCCTCCAAAAATCACTGCTACTCAAAGTGTGGTACTTGAATAATCAGCATGGGCCTCATCTGTGGGCTCATTAGAAATGCAGAATCTCATGCACCATCCCAGATTTTCTGAATCAGGATCTACATTTTAACAAGTTCTCTAGGTAATTTACATTAAGTTACATCCTAATAAGTCAGAACTCCACTTGTATTGTCTCCTTGAGGAACTCTTTAGTAATATCCCTGATGGGTCCAATGTCTTTAGTAATCCTGTCATAGCACAAAGTTCCTTTCATCCACTTTTCTGTTTATCAGTCTATGATGGATGTGATTGTCTCTCCAATAGATTATCAACCCAGGATGAAACTTGTGAACGTCATGGCATACCTGGCACAGTGTGTTATATATAATATAATCAATAAGTAGTAAATGAATGAATGAATGAATGAATGAAGCCTTCTTGACAATTAGCAAAAATGTCTGTATTATTACTATGCATCATTGATTTCAACTTTAAAGAAACAGCTTTCAGGTGTAATTATTACCATTGTTATTATTATAGATGTTGTTATTGAGTTACTAATGTAATAAAAAGTAGTTTTTAATAAAATAATAGCATCTTTATGATTGGAGCTTAAATCTGATAAAGATGTCAGGATTTTCACATGAAAAGACAAATGATAACGTAGAGCCTGTGTATATTAACAGGCAAGGGCGTGAACCCCAGCCCTGTTGAAAGGACTGACTTTTCCATTTCCCAAAATAAGAAATGAAATATTTTGGAATTGCACTTGTCATTTGGGATATACTTAATAACATCTTCCATGTGTCAGACATTCTGCTAACACGTTGAGGGTATCAGACAGATCTGATACCTGTCCTTGCGATGCTTTCACTCAATTGTTTTCTAATTTGTAATATGCCTAACAAACTACTTTTTATTACACACAGGACAGAATTGAATTATCCTAGAAGGCAATTGACTGCATAATTGCTTTCATAATGTCTGTCATTTGGCACTTTTCAAAGGTGGCATGGAGAAAGAGGAAATGCCTTGAGATAGCATTAGAGTGCTTTTGTGACCTGCATTATAGATTTCTAATACGTGTTTCTCTGACAATGCCTTAATTCCCCAAATACTCACACATGTAGAATACTATATAGTTTAGTTCATGATAAATTTATTTTTATTTGCATTTACTGGGATGACATTGGTTAATAAAATGTTACATGGTTCAGGTATATAATTATACAACACATTATCTGTATATTGTATTTGGTGTTTATCACCCCAAGTCATCACCATTGATCCCCCCTTTACCTTCTACTGCCTCTCCCTCTGACCATCACCATACTGTGGTCTGTGCCCATGAGTCTTTCTTTTCTTTGCTTAATGGATGAATAAGAAAACAAAATGAGGTATATCCATACAGTGGAACATTATTTGGCAATGAAAATGAAGTACTGGTATAAGCTGCATTAATGAATCTTTGAAAGATTAAGCTAGTGAAAAAAGTCAGTCCCAGAAGACTATATGTTGTATAATCCCATTACATGAATTGTCTAGACTTTGTCCATCATTAGAATGGTGGTAGTGAGTGCAAGGTTAATTTTTGTCATAATAAAAATATGCTAAATTAATTATCATGATGGTTGCAAAACTGTCAATAAACAAAAAACACTGGATTGTATGGTTTAATTATGTGAATTATATGATATGTGAACTATAGTTTAATAAACATGTTATTAAAACTCACATACAAACGATCAGGTATCACAATTGTATTGGAACATTCAGTAGTATTATTGAAATTAGAAAACAGTGAAAGCAATGCCTA